AAAATGGTAAATTTAGAAAGGCTGTTGCACCTGCACTGCACGTGTCATCGTGTCGGGTAGAAAATTTTTTGTTCTATGACTGGATCTTACCTTCAACAATTAAGCGTGTATTTTTAATATGATAAATTTAAAAATTGTTGCACCTGCACATGCAACTGTCATCGTATAAAGTAAAGAAGTTTTTATTTTATGATATTTTGAGCATCAATAATTAAGCATGTATTTGTTTAATATGATAAATTTTAAAAGTAGATGCAATTTTTTTAATATGATAAGTTTAAAAAGTTGTTGCACCTGCACATGCAAATGTCATCGTTTCAGGTAAAGAACTTTTTATTTTATGACATTTTGAGCTTCAATAATTAAGCATGCATTTTTTTAATATGATAAATTTAAAAAAGTTGTTGCACCTGCACATGCAAATGTCATCGTATCAAGTAAAGAACTTTTTTTTTCACCAAAAAAAAAAGTAAAGAACTTTTTATTTTATGATATTTTAAGCGTCAATAATTAAGCATGTATTTTTTTAATATAATAAATTTAAAAAGTAAGTGTAATTTTTTGAATATGATAAATTTAAAAAGTTGTTGCACCTACACATGCAAATGTCATCATTTCAAGTAAAGAACTTTTTTTATTTTATGACATTTTGAGCGTCAATAATTAAGCATGCATTTTTTAACATGGTAAATTTAAAAAGTTGTTGCATCTGCACATGCAAATGTCATCGTATCAAATAAAGAACTTTTTATTTTATGATATTTTGAGCATCCATAACTAAACATGTATTTGTTTAATATGATAAATTTAAACAGTAAATGTAATTTTTTTAATATGATAAATTTAAAAAGTTATTGCACCTACACATGCAAATGTCACCATTCCAAGTAAAGAACTTTTTATTTTAAAAAGTTGTTGCACCCACACATGCAAATGCCATCATTTCAAGTAAAGAACTTTTTATTTTATGATATTTTGAAGTCAATAATTAAGCATGTATTTTTTTAATATGATAAATTTAAAAAGCAAGTGTAATTTTTTTAATATGATAAATTTAAAAAGTTGTTGCACCTACACATGCAATTGTCATCATTTCAAGTAAAGAACTTTTTATTTTGTGACATTTTGAGCGTCAATAATTAAGCATGCATTTTTTTAATATGATAAATTTATAAAGTAAGTGTAATTTTTTTAATATGATAAAGGGTTAAGGTCATCTATCGTCCCTCTACTATCAAAAATAGTGCATTCTAAACCTTTTACTATGGATTGGCTTCATGTCGTCCCTCTACTATTAATTAACTCCACTTGTCGTCCCTCTACTATTAATTAACTCCACTTGTCGTCCCTCTACAATGCAGAAACACCCCAATGTCGTCCCTCCATCCACTGTAACTGACGGTTCTGTTTATTGACAGTTAAATGCAACGGTCACACCAATTAATTTTTTTTTCCACCCTTTCTTTTGGGCCCACCCTTGTCACATCATATCTCACACAAATTTTTTTGTCTTAGCCTGGACTTCCTACCAAGGTTTTGAAAATCGGACCGAACCGGTCGGTCGAACCGGTTAAACCGGTACCTGCACGGATTTTTAAAAAGCCATTGCGCCGGTACCTTCACGTGTCATTGTATCGGGGTGAACAACTTTTTACTTTACAATTTTTTCACTATCGATAATTAAGCGTGTATTTCGAATATGGTAAGTTTTAAAAAGTTGCTGCACCGGCATCTTGCACGGGTCTTTAAAAAGCCACTGCACCTGTACCTTCACGTGTCATTGTATCGGGTGAAAAACTTTTACTTTATGATTTTTTCACCATTTTCAATGTGGTCAATTTTGCATAGCTGCTCCACCTGTACCTGCATGTGTCATCGTGTCAGGGTGAAAAATTTTTACTTTATGACTTTTTGGCCTTTAATAATTACGTGTGCATTTCCCAATATGATAAATCTCAAAAAGTTGCTACACCTGCACCTTCACGTGTTATCGTGTCGGGGTTAAAACTTTTGGCTTTATGACTGGGCTTGTCTACTTTATAAATTAAGATGTATGTTGATAAAGTATTAATTATATTTTTATAATTAATTTACATATAAAATAAAAATTAATTT